AAAATTAAAATATTAGTAAAATGAAGGTAATATAAGCCGTTTTTTTGGAATACACTTTCTGTAAAATCATATTCTTCTGAAATTAAACAAATGGGCACTATTAAATTTATAATTCCTCCGTATTCTTTTAAAACCCATGGCATTTTCTAAATTTAAATAATTAAATTTCTTCTGATATTATTTTTATTTTAATAATTATATCTTTACAATTCTAAATTTGAAATAGATACATTCCAGAGTTCTTAAAGTAATTATATATAAAAATATGGTATCTGTATCTGGATACACTTTTATAAATCTATAATATTTCGTAGAGATATCTGATTTAGATAGATTTTAGATACATTACGAAATATTATTTTTTTTTTCATTTTTGATATAAGTTAAGTATCAGAATAAATGAAAGTTTATAGTAATTTCATTCTTAAGGCAATTTTCCAGGTAATTCTTTTTTCAAAGAAGCTTTCCAAGACCATTTCTAGCAATTTGTTTTAAAATTTCTAAAAAATAGGATTATAATTTGTAAAAAATTACTTTTATTTGGATAATAAAATATTTCTTAAAAAATGATAAAGATCGATTTCACTGCGTTTGTAAAGTATTTAATATGTAAACACTAACTTGTTTAGAAGAAAAAATGCTGAAGGGTTGAAGTATGATATGAAGAAAAGCTGTGTGTAGACAAATTATAGTGAAAGTGAAAAACCTCATTTGCTGATGGAATTAAATAGTTTATTTTGTAAATACATATTTGCTTCTAACCCGCATCTAACATTATCATATGCTACATCTGATCATCTCTTCGAAAAAGATAGCTGAATTATAATATAACCAAACTCAAACGATAGAATTTTATATTTTTACTATTCCTCCTTTAAATATCGACAAATAGTATTTTTATGAGAAAAAAATTGTTTATTTTTAATGAGAAATTAATGGTTAAACACATTTTGAACATAAATTTTGGAGTTCGTGTAATTTTTAACGAAAAGAAACTGTTAAATAAAAGTCCCAAATAAATTTAAATATAAAAAAAAATTTCTACTTTTTTTAAGACAAGTATTATATCAGTTGGAAGGTAGGTTATATTGTTGTTTATGATCTCTTAAATTTTTTAAACTATATATTCGAAAATATGTTTTAGTGACATACAATACAAAAATAAGACAACAGCTGACCTTACATGCATTAAATAATTAGTTTATGAGTCTTATAATCAGGGATCCAAACCGAACCTGAACCGTTAAAAACTGATAATTTTTATCGAACCTGAACCGAACCTAAACCGTTAAAAAAATTCTAGCTGAACCTGAACCGAACCGCTAAAATGCCTCTGAACCGGTTCTAGCCTCATGATTTTATGCTTATAAAATAATATGTAAGTTATTATTAGTTTATTAAAAAAAATTCAATTATTTTAAAGATTATCATCAATCACATTTGATTGATAAGTGTCGGTCACAATTTTTATAAATTTTAGTATATTGTCATTTTACAACATTTTTTAAATATTTTAAGCTTATAAATTATAATAGAAAAATTAAATCCAAAATATTATTATATCAAATCTGATATCATATCATATTGGCAGTGCCGGCTACCCAGTTAGTGTGGAAAGATGTTTTTCAACAATTAAATTTATACTATCTCCTTATAGATGTAATTTGAGTGAGACGAATTTTGAAAATATATTAATTGTGCGGCTTAATAAAAAAATTAAAATAAAAAAATAAAATATTGTTCATATTAAAATTAATCATTGATTTTTATTTTTATATTTCTAAATTAAATTAAATATTATTTTATAATGGGCAATTAATAAAAATGAAGGTTTTATACATGCGTTTTTTAAATTAATTATAAAATAAAAAATATATTCCCTATACATAATTCGAATGTAGGTTTGAATACAAAAGTGTTCAAACCGGTAGAGGTTCGAACCGAACCGATATTTTAATTTTTTACGAACCGAACCTTGAACCGTTATTTTTATCCGAACCTGAACCGATATTCGTTTCGGTTTGGATCCCTGCTTATAATATCTTCGCTAAAAATTAGTTGATATTTTTATCATAAAAAATGATGGTGTTATATATGATCCAGTTTAAAATTTTTTATGGATGCTTACTGTCTTTAAAGCATTTAAATTTGGCTTACCATTTTTTTAAAAAGAGGGCATTCTAATTATCTATGAGCTGCGTCTTCATGGCAGAATTTTTAATGGAAGTAACTTCCTTAAAAAAAATTTCACCGTCTTCAGCGTCTATATTTCCACGCATTAAATACAAGTGTATAATTGTAATGGCCCCTTCATATATTTTAAAAAGAATAATTTTTATCAATATTTTACTACAAACTAACAAAAAATTGTGTGAAAGAATTGTTTTTTAGAATATGAATTAATTCCCCTCGTTTAAGTTAAATGCATTATTAGTATAAATTTACTTAGCTTCAACTCCCTAAAAAAATTAGAAGCAAACTGCACCTACCCCCCCCCCTCCCCCCTGCTCATGTAAACATTGTCTATGGATCTCTGCCTTACTGGATGATAAGGAGACAGCGTTTACATGCGAAAGAAAATATTGGATGCAATATGCCTGAGTTTTACCACCCATCCCAAAAAATTTGCATACCCCCCCCCCCATTCTTGTAGACCATATAGGGAGATAAGGGGACTATTTATTAATCAAAGCCAGCCATGTCAGGCGATTCTTTTTAGCTATATCTTAACCTCGTCCGAATGGTCTCTGAAAAAGAGTCCCACCAGGGTGTTCTGGGCCTCAGCTATTTGACCCTCTAGGCCACAGATATTACCAGAAAATTCGTGAGTTTTATGTATATTGATATAATCGCGTGACACATATCGCGCGCTATATGTCCATAAACATAAGCTGGGATCTTTTTGAGAAGGGGCAAAAAATGAATGTGTATCTATTCTTCAATGAATATCTTGCCCAATAAGGATTATACAGAAAAAATCAAGACCCTCACTGATAACAAGTTTCGTTTAATTTCATTTACCCGCAAATTGAGGAACTAATCAATCTCCATTATTAACACTAAAAAAGTTATAAATAGTTTGAACCATTCAAGTCAACAAACCTCTAGTCTCAGAAGAACTCTAAATATTAATAGAACTTCACTCGATAACATATTTCTTATACATCTGGATTCTCTTCAGCTCAAAGGGAGGAATTAACGGATGTTATTTAATATACTGCAAGTATCGAAGATGTTCATGATAACCTCCTAATCCATAAGCCACTCTCATTAATTTACATTCCCAGAAATTAACCGTGAGAATACTTCAAACAATAAAAGGCCAGGTGATATTATGTTCCGCCTTAGGCCTAGTGTTGCTAAACAACTCGTTTTAAACTGATTTTAAAACGGCCAACTCAATATTTAAAAAAAATATTTCATAAGCCTCGAGATTTCGATAATATATGTCTAGATCTTTGTTCCTTCTATGAATAAAATCTTCAGGATTGCATAATATTTTTCTGAATAAAATATTGAGTTAGCCGTTTTTAAAATCGGCTCAAAACGAGCCGTTTAAGAACACTACTTAGGCCAAATGGCCGTAGTTGGTTTTGGTTTGGTATTTCACTTGTTAATGCGTTAACTAAATCACCGAGATATCAATGCTCAAATATGCAGCTCTAAAATCCAGTTTTTACCTTTCATTACAGCTACTCTTGAAAACTTTGAAGAAACGGCTCTAATTTTGAAAATACCTTTTTGTGCCTTAAAAGTTCATTGAAATTTGGAGGGAAGCACAACTTTAAGGAGATTGGCTCACCCCCGCGTGTTCTAGGAACCACTGCACGTAAATTTTTATTTTTAAGTTTTTAAAAATTTGATCCATACTTCAAACATATTTTATAATATTTTCATGATAAATTCATATAGATATCTAATATTATATTGTTACTAATTATATATTTATAAAATTGTGAAGTCCTTATACTAAAGCTCGATTGGAGCATTTGCCTTTTAAGTAAATTATTTATTTATTAAAAATCATCTCAATAATATATGTTAGGGAATTTCTTCCTGCTGTATTAAAATTATAGATAATCGCCAGTGTTTATCAAAAACTTTAATAATTTAAGCCTTATTTTTATGATAAAATTTACTATCCTCTTAATATCTAAAATTATAATATATACTTGTCAAATTAAATATTTAATCACAAGATTTATCAAGTTATTTGTTGAATAAGGTCAATATATTGTCGCTTGATTATTTGAGTGCTCAAAATGTGTTTTTGTTTAAACTTAGATAATAGACTTTTAAGTTTCCAATTCTTCTTCTTGCTAAACTTATTCACCAAATTGAGATAAAATTTGGGATAGTGCATTAAAATCAATCCTTTTTATTAATAAAATTTATTTTAATTGGATCAGAGGTTTTTCGACACCCTCAAAATATAATTGAAGCAAGGATAATAAATCATTAACTAATAATTTATCAAAATTGCTCCAGGTGACATTATTTTTTAAATTTTCTTATTCTTTTTTTATTTAAAATTAAGATTGATAATTTTTTTAACATTATACAACAATATTTACATAGCTTTAATAATAATTTAATTAAAGAATTTTGAAAAATATAAAATTTTTATATATATTAAGGTGGAAAGATAATTTTTATAAGTTAATTATTGCTTTTAGGCATCTTTCTATATCTTTGGCATATAATAACGATTGAATAATTAGGTCAAAATAAATTTTAATTTATATAAAATTAAGTACGTAAAAATTTGATATATTGGTCAAAACTTTATATTTTATCCAATTTTTGGTATACATATAAATAATATAGCATCTAATTATTTATAAGGCTAGCTTAATTTGTTCAAAAATGTCAATTGGAGCACTTCAGTAATCAAGCGACAGTATATTATCATATAAAAAAAATAATTAAAATATTTGTTTATAATATTTAGTGGTTTTATGTAAATAGACTAATTCAATGATACATCAATATTTTATAGTGATTGTAATACAACAATAAATAATACTAAATATAAAGAGGATATTTTGTAAACTTACAAATAATAGACAAATAAAAAATCTTCTATGTCTTAGAGATAAACTGTGGCGTATCATTTAGGTCTTCGACAGAATTTAAAGATGCCTCTTGATTAATTTCATAATCAAAAATTATGTTAGGCGGGGCAGGAGAAAAATCTGTCATTTGATCTTCGACTTCTTTATTATTTTTAAGAGGTGAAAGGGTGGTCGTAGGACTATTGACGGAATATTTTTGAAGTGAATCATGTGAGGATTTAGGTATGATAGAATCAGAATTATTTGATTGTAATGTTGTACAATGTGATCTGTTGCCAGATGCCAGCGGCAATAATTTCATATTGGTTATGGGCGAGGATTGTATTTTAAGTTGTGAATCGATTAACAAGTTAGTTGTCTCAAATGAGAGTTCTAAATTTTCATTCTTAATTGAGGTTTTCTGCTGTTTATTTTGGCAAAATATAAATATAAATTATATATTAAATTATATATTAAAAAATCTTATGAGCGTTCTTGTTAAATAAAACCTTGTTAATATCATCAGTGAATCTAAGATTATCACTGGCATTCTTTAAGTCACCCAAGCCAATAACTTCTTGATTATGATCATTTTCCGTATTATTGTCCCGATCTTCGTGCTGACAAAAACTTTCACTTACACTATTCTCATTTAAATCGTCATCAATTTTAAGGATTATATAATTACTGCCACTCGAATCTTGAAATTTAGAGCAAGGTTCGGATTCTGCATGAGTCGTTTCGACATTCGTCTCTATATCTCCGACCTCAAAATCTAGATTTAATGGGTTATGATTCGTATTGATGTTATGACCCTGAGATATAAGATGGTCAAATAATAAGGTCGTTGCTGTTTGACAATCAACTTCCTCGCCATATGTTGATAAAGATTCTTGAATAACTAATGATGGGTTTGGATGTAGTATACTTGAATCAGTGTTAACCAAGTTTATAGGAATAAGGGATATGGAACCGTCGGGATTTTGAAAAGTTTGTATTTGAAGCATCACTGTAGGTTGTGGCTTATTTAACTTAGTTTGGTTGTGGATTGAGTTCAGCGTGTCAAATAGAAGTGAATGAGTGGAGTCAGTTAAGGTAGAGGGTGGGAAGAGAGAGTTTTGTTGATTCGACATAACTATCATTTCTGACGTGGTAGTTTTAGAAGTAGCGCTTGATTCGATTCTAAAAGAACTTAAGGCATTTAAAGAATTTTGGAGCAAGTCATCTTGCTTCATCTCCTGAAGTCTTAAAGGAAGAGTGGATTGAGAAAAAAGGTTGGAGAGATAAGAATTAACATTGGAAGATAAGTTTCCATCGTTAATTAAAGAATTAGCTCCCGAAAGATTATTTGCATGGGAAATCCCAATTTCACTTTTGGAGAAGTTTAAATTAGTGTTATTGTGATTTTGAACCAAGCTAGCTAATTGATCGGGCGTTATCAGCACTATCTGGGGTTCCGCCTGATTTATCAGATCCAAATTGCTAAAACAAAAAATGGTATTAAATTTTAAAAATTGTAAGTGAAATTATGTCAAAAAAGTTTTTGTGACAAGTATGATTGCTAAATAAAAGGCAAATAATATCTATGTAAATAATAATAAAAATTTTTGCTGAAATCATATTTATTATGAAAAAAAAATTATTGCAAGGAAATTTGAAAGCATGAGAAAAATACAATAGCACAACTTGTAAAAAATTAAAACAGTTTTAAGTCCGACTCGGTCCGAAACACAAAATTTTGTCGGGTCCGAGATTAAATATTTTAAAAACAGGACCGGTCCGCTAAAGTTCGACTTCTAGCGGAATTGGACCGCGTAAGGCTCTAATTTATCTTATATTGTTTACGATAGTAAGATCGCAAATTGGCTTAAATAAAACTTTATCACTAATAATAAGGGAGAAAAAAAATATTACCCTGAGATTTTATCAAATTGATAAGTCTTTTGTTGCTTAGAATCTTTAACTATCTTCTTTTTACGCTTAAGACCTATTTTATCAACGCATTCGTTACTTTCACTGTGTTGAGAAAGGTATTTTGGATGCGGATCAGTAGGTACGCCAGTAGGAGAGGATAAGAGATCCGATCTACTATAATAAACGTAACAATTTCTTATTATTTCCCTCAGAGCATCCGTCCAAGAAACCTTACAAAAGAAAAATGGATTCAATAATTAAATCTACATATACAAACGGGAAATATAATATAAAAAAGTATGATCCGATTTAAAAATAATTGAACCAATTTTATACATTTACTATAATCTTATAAATGATAGTAAGAGTTTTGCTTAAATGAGGATATCTAGTAAAATGTGAAGGGAATCATTCTAAAATCAAAACTGAATGGAGTTGAAGAAATAAGTAAAATGCCCAATGTTCATAATTTATTACCAAAAAAATATGGAGGATTAATTACTTTGGTAGTTTTTCGAATCTATTTTTGAAATGTATAAATAAATAAATGTTTAATCATGCAAAAAGTGATATTTCGATAGTTGGAGAATTAAAAAGAGGTATATCATATTTTCGGGATTGTGCAGTATAGCGGATATTTTTTCGAAAAGATCTTATATCCAAGATGCAAATTATTTTTAAATATCTATAAGTGTATCCAAGATAAGATACAAATTAATTAAATTTAAAATGATATAATTTTAAAATTTATAAAAAAATTTAATTCAAGTTTATATATTTTAAGATAGGATAATGATAGTTTTATTATGGGCTATTTTTTAAAGTAGCGCGCTAACGCTACCGTACATTGGAATTTTTTTAAAAATATTTCTTATGTATCTCTATCCACAAAAATATTGGTATAAATATGTGACTATAATTTCAAATATATATAATTTATTTATTTTTTATTACATTTTAATAATAATAACATTTCTGTATCATTCCCAAGTCTAGAGGGGATCAGAAAGTAATAAGCTTTGCCATACTAAATAATCGTTCAACACTAGAACTTGAGAATGAAGTATTAAATTTAGTATACACATTTTTTATATAAGAAAAATCAAAATATTTATTTGAGTATTTTTGGATTTGAAAAATGCGTCGAAAAGATTTTCAATAGTATTATTATTTATTTCAAAAAAAATCTATAGTAGGTGGCGTTTTTGATCTGGCTAGGGTATCCTGGTTTAGTATAGTATTATTTAATGCTTGGCATTAATTTATTAAGTTGCCCTTTGGATTCAATCAAATTAATATATGGCCAATAATTTAACTTGAAACTAAGATGAACAGAAGCAGTTATGTTATACATCCAGAGAATAATTATAAAATAAATTAAATAGATGAGTCTGATAATAAAATGAGATATTAATTAATTATTGTAATTTTAAATTTAATATATTTTTTAAATAATATCTTATGACAAGTTGAAACATACCAAGTTTAGAAGGGCCAGAAAATCATTTTTCATATAAACTGATCTAGCTCAGAAACTCATAGATACAGCTTTGATTTAAATTTAATTTTAAAGTTTGTGGATTGGTCTACACATTGATATTAAATTTGTAAGTATATTATCTTTAAATCTACTGTATACCCTGTGTAATTTTTTATCGAGATTAAAATATTTTGCCAATTTAGGATGAGGAAATTCCGTATTATCATTAGTTTTCAGGAAAATTATTTTGTCAATGTGATCTGTACCAAAATTATCTTCAATAGTCTATTGTAGATTTTAAAATTTTAATAATTTTGAAAACTAGATTTATAATGCACATTCTTAAATATTAATTTCAAAATTAAATTAAAATATTATGATTTTAGAATTAGTTATAAAATTAAAAAATATTTAAAATATTTTTGTGTATTTATATATAAAATTGAAAGAATTTCTTCATTATTAGAGAGCTACCGCTATCACTAATTTTTTAAAAATGTAGATCGCTAAAACTACCGCTACTGAAAAATAGCGCGCTACTTTAAAAGATACATGACGTTGGTCGTTATATAGCGATTTGCTAAACAACTATCATATTATATTAAATCGCCATACATCACATACATCATTACCCCAAAAATTATGAACTAAGTTATGAAAGATATAATTAGAATCGAAAAGTGAAAACAATGATACTACACAAGGAGATTGCAATTGCAATTAAATGGATTTTTTTTTGAAATAACCCGAGATGAACACACCAATAGTAAAATTACTGGTGTAAAGAATGCCACAAATTTATAAATAGCTCTTTAGTCATCTAATTTTGTCAAATATTATATAGTTTTATTAAAAATCTATAATATTCATTTTATATTCAATATGATTTTATTTGCTAAATTTAGAAGTTTTTAAGGATAATTTTCTATATGAATGATTGATAATGTAAGTAAAATCATATATAAAAAATTATCTAGAATTGAAAATCATTAAAAAAAATATTGATAAAATACAATAAAAATAGAATAATAGTTAAAAAATCTATATATAACATATTTTATTTTATTGTTCTGCTAATAGAGATGTAATCTAGAATTGTATTGAATCATCAAAAATTATTACATAAACAGAAAAAACAAAAAGTTAAAAACTGCAAAAATATAACTCAAAACCTTCGAATTTTCTAATAATAAAGGGAAAACATCTCAGAAAAAATTTAATAATTTATTATTTATTTATTGCTAAAGAAATGCATCCATTATCTATAGTTGAACAAAAAGAATTTTTTAAAATGATGGAAGGTAGATTGTAGATTTAATTTTATAGTTTCTCTTATCTTTATATTATACTTATCAATTGGATTACCATTACTAATTAAAAAATTTTCAGGAAGATCTTTTGCAAAGAAAAATTGATGAAATCTACAAATATGAAACTGATAATTTAAAATAGCTATAAGCTCATATATACATCTGCACTAATGCAGATATTTGGTCTACTACTATTTAAAGTTTAAAAAAAGTATCTTTAACTCTATTCAATGTAATATTGATAATGTTAAACTTTTGTAATTACACAATAACATTATTGCCGTATATATTGAACAAATACTAGTAGAATGAGGAAGAGATTTTTATTGAGTGTGCAAATTACTATACAACAAATGTAATTTATTACAACTATGTTAAAAAATGATATTAATAGCATTCGAACGAAATTTTAGTAAGAATATATAACGTTAAAGCATTAAATATTTGTTTGTATTTGGTATATTTTTTATTTCTGATATATTTCGATAACTTTAATTTTGTTATCTTACGTTTTAATTTAACATATATGTAACCAAAAAATCTTTTTGAAAAGGAAAACTGATTAACAAAGATAACAAAATCAAAGTTTTTGAAATATCTCAGAAATAAAAATTAGATTATATAGGAAAATTAATATTGCCTGTAATATAAACCATTTTTTTTTAATAATGTAATTGCAATAAATATATTTGCTGAAGTAAACTTACTACCTTAACAATGAGTATACTATATTTCACTCTCTTTGATTTCTTATGTCTTTGTAAATGCACATATATTTAATCATTTTATGTAGTAAATTAGAAATTATTAATATATTATGAATTATTATATTCGTTAATTATATATGTTTTATAATGAATTTAATTATATGTAGTATGTTTGATATAATAATGAAAAATGTATAGCTACCAAACATGAATTATACATTTTAGTATGAACCATATATTTATATGTTTCCATGATTATGTGCTTATAAATAAATGGAGTGTGTATACAGGGTTGGGCAAATTTTCAGAAAATTGTATTCGGATACAGATACAGATACTTTATAAAATTTTGTATTTAAGATACAAGATACTTTAGAAAAATTTCAATAAGATATAAGATACAAGATACTTGTATTTTTTTAAAAAAAAGTATCTAAGATACAAGATACTTTTTTAAAAAACTTTAAATAGTCAAAATCAAAATGTATAAAGCTTTATTTTCTTATCTATAATATAAATTTATAAAAAAATATTTAAAATAAATTGTAGAAAATAACAAATTTATTATAAAAGATAATGCGATATTCTATTTAATAATTATATAATTAGTAAATAATAATAAATCAGCATCATATTTTATAATTATTAATTTTTCGTTCAATCTTTGACGATTTGGTCTATTAACCATATTGGCAAAGCTAAATAATCTTTCAACGGGGGCTGAGGAGGGTAATATTGTGTTATATTTAATAAATATTTCTTTTATATATTTATAACTATTTAACATATTTATACTCCGCCTGTCATCTTTCATATAATTTAGGACCTCTATTTCAATATCATTTATTGAATTATTAGAATTGGATGTGATACTTTTAAAGCAAAAGTAATCATCATCTTCATCAATTGAAGATTTTGTTGAAGTATTAATTTCAATATTATTTTTAAAAACAATTAAAACTTCATGTATTAACAAATCCTGAAAGTATTTTTTTTCTTTTTCACCATCAATCCAACGATTTTTAAATAGTTGCCAAAAATGCACTTTTAAAATTGTTATCAAAATCATATATATTTTTAAATCTTTTATATAAATAATTTTCTATGGCAACAGCTAATGGTTTGCAAAATTGTAGATTGGTTTGAATTAAATTTGTAATTTTTTTTAATGACATTTAAAATTGGAGCTGATTCTCCATAAGCAGTTGATTCCACTCTGTATTTTGTCAATCGCTATAGCCAATGGGGCCATTATATTGCAATATTCTTCTAAATATTGAATTTCAATATCTCTTAATTTAGGAAATTCTAATTTTTGACATAATTTAGGAAGTTCGCCTTTAAATTTTAATAAACTATGAAGACTATCATACAAACTATTCCATCTAGTGCAACAAGGTGTAACTAATTGTTTTCCTAAAACTGCTTTGATAAGTTCTGCAGTTTTAGGCCTATTATTTGCATTCCATAGCTTAGTACATTTAGCTATTGCAGGATGATGAATTTTAGAAATGTTAGGAGAATCCTTAATAGCTCTCTCGACATCTGTTGTGACAATTAGACTTATCGTATGGCACAAACAACGAATGTGTTGAGGCAATGTTATTGAGGCTTCTTTAGACCCTTAAATAAACAAATAAATAATTTTATTTGAATAAAATTTTTTATTAAATTTACAATATCAAAATAAATTTTAAAGAAGTATTAAATAATACTTTCAATGATTTCGAATTCTATACATTCATCATCATTGATGTCAAAGTCATTCTCTACAGCTTCCATAGAATATCCAAACTCCTTGAAAGCATTCTTAAAGTTAGAGCCGTTATCTGTAACAGTTGCTATAACTTTTTCGTCAATACCAAAGTCACGATGAATTTCTTTATTATGATCATCTTGAAGTACTTCAAAAAATTTGCCATTAAGTATGCTTAATTTAAATTTATTGTTATAATTTTCGGTTGAAGAATCATCTGAAGACGAAGATAAACATATTATTCTATTTTCTTCTTCCATAATTTTAAAATAGACAGATATAAAACGATTCAAATATGGTAGTTCTAATTGTTAGCAAATTGCTATATGACGACCAACTTCATATATCAAAAATTATCTTAAAATATCTAAATTTTGATTAAATTTTTCATTTAAATCTTAAAAAATATCATTTTAAATTTTAATACTATTTAAATTAACCAAAATAAATTTTTTTAAAGTATCTGTATCTTTTTGAATACAAAGTTGGTTAAGATACAAATACTTTTAAATAATATGTATCTTAGATACTGGATACAAGATACTTTCCAAAATTTTAAAAAAATACAAGTAGATACAAATATCGCGATACTGCCCAACCCTGTGTGTATATTAGTTTTATTTTTAACAGTTTACGACCTTGGCAAAAAAATAAAGAGGGTACAAGTTGACTTTTAAAAAAAGTGGTTTAGTTCCTGAAATTTTAAAAGGTGGTTTTAGGCTTTTAAATTTGATGCAGTTCTGAGGGTTCCAGGTTCTGGATTCAAACTATTGAAGCTAGTGATTTGCAAGGCCTACCCCCCCCGCCAGATTTACTTTGTCTTAGCTGAGCTTTATTTTTGAAAAAAAATTCAATTCAGGCTAACAAAGGTGGGTTTTAGGTTTTTAAATTTGATGCAGTTCTGGGGTTCCAGGTTCTGGATTCAAACTATTGAAGCTAGTGATTTGCAAGGCCTACCCCCCCGCCAGATTTACTTTGTCTTAGCTGAGCTTTATTTTTGAAAAAAAATTCAATTCAGGCTAACAAAGGTGGGTTTTAGGTTTTTAAATTTGATGCAGTTCTGAGGGTTCCAGGTTCTGGATTCAAACTCTATTGAAGCCAGTGATTTGCAAGGCCTGCCCCCCCTCGCCAGATTTACTTTGTCTTAGCTGAGCTTAGTGTTGTTAAAACGCCGCGCGCGACCCCGACCCAAAGTTCGGGTCGTTTTTTCGACCTCGACCCAAAATATGGGTCGTTTTTTTCGACTCAGACTTGAAGTTTGGTCGTTTTTTTCGACTCAGATTTGAAGTTTATTTTTTAAGGCAAATATGTAAAAATATATTTTGCAAACATGTTAAATTAAAATTTCATTGAAGATTTCCCATAGGAAAGTGACAATTGTCATAATCGTCATTTTTGAACTTTTTTTAAGGCAAATGGGTAAAAATATATTTTGTAAACATGTTAAATTAAAATTTCATTGAAGATGTACCATAGGAAAGTGACAATTGTCATAAACGTCATTTTTGAACTTTTTTGATTTTTTTAAGGCAAATGGGTAAAAATATATTTTGCAAACATGTTAAATTAAATCAGAAAAGTTAAAAAATGACGATTATGATAATTGTCACTCTCCTATGGTACATCTTCACTGAAATTTTAATTTAACATGTTTACAAAATATATTTTTACCCATTTGCTTTAAAAAAGTTCAAAAATGACGATTATGACAATTATCACTTTCCTATGGTACATCTTCACTGAAATTTTAATTTAACAAGTTTGCAAAATATATTTTTACCCATTTGCCTTAAAAAATTCAAACAAGTTCAAAAATGACGATTATGACAATTGTCATTTTCCTATGGTACATCTTCAATGAAATTTTAATTTAACATGTTTACAAAATATATTTTTACCCATTTGCCTTAAAAAAATTCAAAAAAGTTAAAAAATGACGATCATGACAATTGTCACTTTCGTATGGTACATCTTCAATGAAATTTTAATTTAACATGTTTACAAAATATATTTTTACCAATTTGCCTTAAAAAAATTCAAAAATGGCGATTATGATAATTGTCACTTTCCTATGGTACATCTTCGATGAAATTTTATTTTAACATGTTTGCTACCCATTTGTCTAAAAAAAATTGAAAAAAGTTCAAAAATGACGATTATGACAATTGTCACTTTCCTATGGTACATCTTCACAGAAATTTTAATTTAACATGTTTGCAAAATATATTTTTACACATTGGCCTTAAAAAAATAAAAGGTCGTTTTTTTTGGCTTGAACTCGGGTCAAGGTCAAAAAAAACGACCCAAAATTTGGGTCAGCTCTGTTTGAGCCGACTCGGCTAAGCCGATTAACAACACTAGCTGAGCTCTATTTTTGAAAAAAAATTGGGATGGGCTTAATGATATTTAGACCTTATGCAGATCTCTAATTAAAGCAATCAAATAATTTTAAATAGATTTTCTAGGTCATGAGTGTTCTCGGTTCTGGTTTTTGATACCTTCTTGTAAATTTACAAATGAACTTTCATATAAAAGATTAGCAACAATTATTAAAAAATTCACTTCAACCTTTTGTTTTTCTTGTTCAGTTCGTATATCAGATCTAACGTTAGCCCAAGGTACACTTTTTGGCCACCAAATAGGTATAGTGTTGAGTCTTCCCCATCCAGGTTTGCCGCGCCCTGTTGCAAATTTAAGCATGTGAGGGATAAAACATCTTAATTGAGCCTGACATTTTATTGTAAATAATATTATATCAAGAAAAATGTGACACAATCAACCATTGTAAATTGATATTCCTTTTTTAAAATTTCTTTATTCATAAGTGATTTATTTGTTTACTTCTTATTTTTAACTTAATAAAATGGCCTTTGCTTTGAAATATAGGTGTAATAATTTATGGTATTTTTATTTTATAGGAATGTAAGTTTTCTTATATTATATACCAGTTAAATAAAAATCTTATATTATATACCAGTTAAATAAAAATAAATATATGAATGAATTATAAAAATATAATCCAAATTTATTATCAATTTAATATATGAGTGTAATAAAAAAATATAATCCAAATTTATTATCAATATTATTCAAAATAGGTCTATATTTATTATTATTATTATTATATATTTTTATTTACTGTAAAAAAAATAATTAAGATATAAATCTGTTTAAAAATAGTTTAGGTTCATATAAATAATTTGGTTAAATATTTTGTACTTGTGTCATTTTATCTAAATAAGTTGGAATTCCATCAACTACTAATGGTGGAAGCTCATACTGATGTTGATTATTATGAACTAGAGATTGATTTTGATACAAACTAGATTTTTGTGACAATATTTTTTCTAACTCCACTATAATTACTTGCTTCCAATTTTTTACCTTATAAAGTATAATTGTATATAATAGAATTGTTTTTTTTATATAATTACCACATCTTCTAAAGGTTTTGTACCATATATTTTTATAGCATTGTCTGCTTCGGATTTTGTTGGTTTATAAATTATTAATGTAGCTTGATGCCCAATTCTTGAAGCATATTCATTAATTGTATTTTTTAGTTTCCTTTCAATATAATATAAATTTAATATACTCACATTAAGTATACCTCAATAACCTGGTTTGCAATCTTTTTCTTAGAGATGGATTTGTTTCAAATATAAAATTCTTCTTTCTTTTCTGACATGACACAATTGCTGCAGCAGCAGCTACGCCAACTGGTCCTTCGTGTTTATAATTAAATTCGATCATCTATCTCAAAAAAATTACCTGCTGCAATTAATTGAGCTAATTGAGAATCATGCTGCTTTGTCAATAAATCACTGTCCTCAAAAGATATATTATCTAATGAGTTTTCCTCATCAGTAAGAATCTGCGTTTCCATATGGTAGTTTTTCTATGGATATACTGAATAACTTGATTTGACATATGTATATCTAATCAATTATTACAAATACACAAGGTAAGTCATACAATCTATATTAGCATCCGATTCTTTTTATATAATTAATTTTTTATTGAGCATATATACTATCTAAAAAAGATAATTATAAAAAACAAACCATATCAATTGAAAAAAAATCTGATAATAAGCGTATATAAAATCAAGGCTAACAAATAGGTGTAGCCAGAATTGCAGAAGTTGGGGGGATTTATATATTTCGGAGAAGAATTATGGAAATCAAAATTTTGAAGGGTTGAATTTCCACTCCAAAATTTTACCATTTTGTAAGTATCAATAGTGTCTACGTGGGCGGAGGGGGTATATGCAATTTGCCTTCAATTTTTTAATGGAGGGGGGGTCAAGGATGGTCCACTAGGGGGAAAGATAAATGTATTTGGGGGGGGGGGGGAGATTTTAGATGAAATAGTGCAAAATATATAGCTGTAAAAAATTATTTAATACTTTTATTAGACTTATTATAATATAATGGTATTACTAAACGAACAAATCTATATTGCATACAATTACTGAATGCCTAATCGTTTGAATAGTTAAAATGGCTAACTCAATGTTTTATCCAGAAAAATAAAGATTTTGCTTATAGATGGCACAAAGGTTTGGACATCTATTAGCGTCCCGAGGCTTAGCCAATATTTTCCTGTCTAGCTCCATTGGGGCTTATTATTCATTTTCCCCTTTTATAACCAAATGTTGCCCTTATAGCTTTAGGGAAGCAAAAAGTTTTAACAATATTTATTATAAACTTAAATAAAATTTTTATTTCCCATCTTGACAATTTTTATATATTAAAAGATAAAAAATAATAAAATAAAGATTAATAAAAACGCTACTGCTTAGAGAAGAAAATGCAATAATCATCCAATCTTTTATTTCTGGGAATTAGTGTTGCTAAACGAACTGACATGGGTAGATTTTTTTAAACGGTTAAATTAAAATTTTATCTAAAATATGAGAGACTATATTTGCTCATAGATGAAAGATTTGGACCTTTAACTGCCAAATCACGAGGCATGCATAATATTATTTTGGCTAGATCGAGATTTTTAACAACACTATTGGGAATCAGATCTTTTATAATTTGTATCCACGAAAATGAGTCAAAAATTTGCATAGGTAATGGTAGTCGTACATCAGTGGCGTAGCTACGGGGGTGGTTTTCGGGTTTGGACTCCTCCCAGAGCTAAATCTTTTTTCAGATTATACGTTCAAAAGACTTAAAAGTGACTTTATATTAAATAAATGCCATTAATATTTATATTTTTCTAGTTTTGATGTTTGTGAAAGGATATTATATTACTATTGAAATTATTCTGGATAGTATTATTATAAAGTCATTGAGAATAATCTACTAAATTATAATAACATATTATTGATACATTTAAAAAATGTATATATTATAGAAGATATGGTTATAATTTGTATGATTAAACCGGCCGAGGGCCGGGAAAAAGGGCCGAAGGCCCGTCAATAGGGGTCTGGGGGCGAAGCCCCCAGGCTTTTATATGTATGGACCCCCTCTAAGAAAAATTCCTAGCTACGCCACTGTCGTACATTATCATAATATTTAAAACTTTAAAGATATAATTTTATAACTTAAATTTTATTAAATCAAGTATAATTATAAATTAAATGACAATCTTTTTATAAAATTTACAAACATAACCTTAATTATTTGTAATTAAAAATAACAAAATATTTTATTTCTTTATTAAACAGAGATATACAGAGTCCGCCCCTTTATATTTTTAACAAGTTTCCCAGCTCGATAAAGGTGTTTTACAAATTATATGTGCACAGGTATCCGCAGCCTGCCAAAAAATTTGTGGATTATTTTTGTCATTTTAAATTAACCCTATTTGTTTACCAAGTTTGATGGGCGTGAGTAGAATCAAACGTAACTGTTATTTTTAACAACATGAAAGGGAGCTTAAAGAATAACGAATTTAAGGTCCGGCCTTTTAAAATTTTACAAAAATTCAGGCCAGGACAGTTAAATATATTAGACGAATTTTTAAGTCAGGCCTTTATATCCATATACCTAAGACTCTAATATCCCTACTCTATGGTTATCCATTTTATAATAACAACCATTTTATAAATCAATTGTTTTTCTATTATTTTTCGCTTCTAAACTTACTCATTAATTAAATCAAAGAAGCCCATCTTTTTTAAAAATTTTTAGGTTTTCACATGTATTTATACCCAAATATAAAAAAAGCGCTAACCAATAATCATTCTAAAGATGATATGATATATTCATATTTATGCATTTAACGCTCTCTTGTCGATATATATTTGTTAAATCTTAAAATTGAAAAATAAAATTTAATTGTAATAAGCTAGTATATATATTTATTTTTTAATTAATATTAAGTAAAAAAACATATTAAATTAATTGATATTTAATCCCTATTTTTTATTTAATAATAAAATGAATATTAAAAAAAATGTTTCTAATTATTTTTAAAAAAAGATTATACAATCAAATTTTGATTGATTATGATTAATTGCTTTTTTGCAATGCAATATTTAGTCATACACCTAATCATAGGCGTAGCCAGGATTTTCCTAAGGGGGGAGGGAATTAAAAAAGTGCTGGGAGCTACGCCCCCAGACACCATTTGCCAGGTCTTCGCCCTGGTTACTTTAGTCTATATATAGTTATAAATATTTTTACAAGATAGGAGGTTAATTTTAATAAAAAAAATAAGACTGAATATGAAATATATTTTTATTAGTTTATATAAAATATAATAAATTACTTGTATATTCATTAATATAAAAGCATGGTAATAATTTATTCCAAACAAGTATAAGAAATTTATTTATAAAATGTAGACATATAGTTGATATTCATCTATTATATAGAATTAGTTACAAAATACTAGGTAAAATTCCACTTTTACAGACATATTTGACAGTTAGAGAATATATTAGTTAATATTTTAACAAATTTTACTAATCAATGCTCTTGATAATAAATATAGCAGCAATTTGCATTCAATTATTTAACGCCATCTATTTATTTAAAAAAATATATTATTAAAAATTAATCTTCAAATTATTCATTCCACAATGTCTTAAAAAGATATTTTCTGATGTCCTTATCAATATTTTATAGTTTTCTGTAAAATATATAATTCGCTAAATTGGTAAAAATTACTTGATTGTCATATGATAATTGATAAAATTAGATATACTGTAAATCTACGACATATAATATTCCACTGTTATTGTGCTTTAATTTTATCAATAGTTTTATAATTATATTTTACTTTTATTAATATAAATAAATTAAAATTACTCACTTTATAAAAAATTATATTTAGTGATTTTATGGATCTATTATTATTAATTATAATACATTTTTGTCTTAAGATTTATCTTTGGCTTATATATCATTTCTTAAAAACAATTTTGGTTCACTTTTTTAATATATAAATGCTTTTTTCCAAAAATGTATAAATATATGATGAATAAGTTTTATAAAAAAATATCAACTTTTACATTCTTTCTATCAAATTATTGTTTAATATATATGCATACATTTTTGGGGGTCAGGGAGTGGTAGGAGGATTAAGGGGGATATTTTTTTTATTAGCTTAAAATGATATTCACAAAAAGTTATAAATTTCTACCCCTGGGTATACGCCTATGCCCCTAATTTACTATTTTAGTTAGACAGCCCTTATAAAATAATAATAAAATTTCTTAGCAATATTATTTACATGATAATCCTCTATAAAATTCTTATCGTCACTAATTATATTTGTCTCATCCATTTTTTCATGATTTTTAAAGTAACAGATGGTAGTAAATCGTTAAAGATATAAAAGAATTGGTATACTATTTTAACATAATAGATAATTATACACATTTTAATATTCTTTAAAGATGAATTAGAAATATTTTCGTTTTTTTCTAATTTTAAAGTCGGTATAATTTATAACTATTAGTATTAAAATCTAATGATATTTCTTTATCCTACTTTAATATGTCCAAATTGAATCTTGACAGAATTAATATAATACGAAAATATAATTTTCTTAATGATATATATATATAATCCAATTTAGCTCTATATAGTGTTATAAAAAATCAGATTTATTGCACATCATTCAATGTTAAAACGCAATGTAAAATACGGAAAATTTTCACTGATTATCGTTTCATCTTCCTATAATAAATATGATTAATTAATATATAAATTACAATTTAGACTTTAGAAAAAAAACATTCAGGGTTTTTCAAATAAGATTTACAATCATTTAGAAAAGAAGAAAGTTGAGCGAAACAAATCCATGAACCGAAATCCCTCTCTTAAATTTTATAAAAACTTTAATTTTTCTTAAATATAAAAACTTTTCTAAAATCTTTAATTTGCTTTCAGAGTTTGAAACCAGAACCTTGACCGAAAATTTCTTTTAAAAGTGATTAGGAAGTATTTAAAAATAATACGAATTGGAACCATAATCCATTTTAGTTCATCAAAATTCCAAACTCTAAAGGAAATCTTTATAGTCTTAATTATTTATAATATATTCAGATGAATTTGTTTTTATTGTAATTTATGTAATGAGATTAGTGATCCGGTCCAAGGGATTGACTTTTAAGCTTGTAAAGGTATTCGACCTTCCAGTTTTTGAATTACACAAAATAAAAATATTAAGACTTGTTTCAGGTCTAAACCTGAAGGAAAGAAAGTTAATGGTCCCCATCAGATGTTTTGATCATTGGCGTCAAAAGGGGAGGAGGATTGAAAAAGGTTGCTAGCAACCTTAAATTAAAAAAAACTGTATTTCTAAATCTTGCACTTGTTTACTTAAAAAATTTAAGCAATCCTAAATTAAAAAACTTATATTTGGAGCAACCCTAAATGGTTAGTGCCAGTGATGCCATTGATTTTGGCCTGATGACCATTTTTGAACTTTCATTAAATTTATGTGTCATTTATATTTATTACATCTTTCGAATCATCTGTATCGTCGTTTATCAAAAGAGCTGCCATAATGGCAGCTTGTTTGATCGTAAAATTAGGGTTAAGTTTTTGTTCCTCCAAGTATATTGATATCTTAAAATTAACATTAAAAAATACTATGTAAATTTAAAAAAATGGAAATTAAATGTAGTATCATCCGCTCTATTATAATCTAAATTAGTAAAAAATTGATATCTAGTTTAAAAGAATTTATTCAATAACCCAAAAAAATAGCCTTACCTTGGGCAAATTCTGGGGTGAAGAGCCAAAGGTTTGAGAAGGATCTTTAAAAAATCTTTTAAGGATCATGGAAGATAAATGTTGAAGTGTTGCTCGTTCAGAACACCGGACATATTTACGAATCGCTTTAATGTTCATATAGTTTTGTGTTTTCTTATTATCTACCAAAAAATCTTTGTTTATATTTTTAGTGGCATTTAAAATAAGATTTTCCTTTTCTTGTGCATCAACATGACAGTCATGATTAGTTTTGACATTAGGAACAGGTGATTCGATATTTTTTTCAACTCGTAATAAAGAACCATCTTCAGTATTTGTTGATGAGACTTTGAGTTCTTGATAAGATAGATCAGCATGCTTTATGCTTAAATAATAATAAAAATAAACTTATAATATATTTATTAATCATCTTGATATAAAATGATAGCGATAAAATAATTATGTTGATGAAATGGGAGAAATTAGAAATGTGAATTCAAGGATGCGCTTAATATTACCCTGAACTTTGACTATAACTGATAATATCTCTTCAGACAAAAGATAAATTGTCAATTTCAATCTAAATTTTTTTTAATTAACTGATAGAACCACATGTGCTGTTTGTGCACTCTGCGATCAAATCGTAAAGGGCCACAATCAAACCATGTATTTTCATAAAACATATGAGGGTATATTTAAATATTAACTTTTTGTTCTTTAGAGAAAAAACCTTGTAAATATCCAACAAACTTTACCAGAAATTTCTTAAAATTGTTAATTATGTAATTATAAATTTTGTTATAAAAAGTCTAAAGCATTGCTGAATACATCAGCACCTGTAGAAAGACTATTTAGCTTTGCAACTTGCTAAATAAGTATTATAGAACACGTTTAAATAATGATTGTTTGAAAATAAATACTTTTTAAAAAAGTTATAAGTTCTTTTTAAATATTAATTAAATATTCAATATCATTTATTGAAGGATCGAAAAAAATGCTTCAAATGTTAATGCTTATTAATATCTATTTATATTTAGACATTATAAATGATATTCCAGACAGAATTTGATTGCATTTCTTAACATCAAATATATTAATATAATGTTAATAATAATTTATATTAAAATGTTTTATGATATTGTCTTTATATTGAAAGAGTAAAACCTTTATATTTTATTTTTCAAGCATAAAAAAATTGCAATATAAAGAATAAAATATTATAATTATTATATTATATGCTATTTTTAATTGCTCTAGAAAATTTAGTTATTAAACCATTTTTAATTAACAATTATAGTTAATTACAAAAATTTTGTAAGTAATTATAATATAGTTTTTGAGTAATTATGGTTCTAAATTTATCTACCGATTCTGATACTTAAATATTTTTGTAAATTTGATATCACCAATCGGTTTAAGAAGGGATCAAAGGATTGCTCATTAATCCTAAATTTGATTTGAGTAACAATAAATTTATTTTAAAATTTTATTATTATTTCTTGAGCAACTTTAAATTTAAAAGGTAGATTTTCAACCCTCATTCGATTCCCATACCGTCGATTCTATAAAAATATTATTTTCAAGACGAAGTCTTGAAATGTGCCATACAATTCTCTTTTTTTCTTCAATTGTTGTAAATATATAAGTTATATACCGAACTTAGCCTCTACATTAAATTTTTATCAGAGATGCACTAATATAATCCTTTTAGCTCGTAACAGTAACAAACCAATACTAACATGATACCGAAAAGAATAATGTGAAAAAAATTAGAAAATAAAGAATAACAGCACCACCTTTCTTTTTTATCGGCTTAGAATATTTTTTTTTAATTTATGATGATTAATCATTTTTGACTCAGCTCTGATTTTTACATAGTTATGCATATTAAATCTCCTTGCTGATAATAGGTGCCGATAATCGTGTATCTCTGCAATAAACGAAATTTATTTTAGGTTAAAGCGATAAGAAGTTCTAATAAATGTCAAAAATTTTGCTCAACTTGAAATATGGAATATTTTAACTTCCTAAAAAAATTTCCCTAATGCAATTTGTCTGATTTTAGTTAGAGGAAACCATATTCTTTAACAATATTTGATCCCAACAGTGATCGTGTTTAAATGATCTTGTATAATTTAAAATTATAACAAATCATCGTAGTTTGAAAATAAATTTTTTTTATCAGGATATAAAAATATAATATGACATCAAACTTTCCTATTAGAATAAATGTGATCAAAGGATCGTCGGAGTCGGCAAATTTTTCGTTGGTTGTATCGTTGGCGTCACGTAACGTTAAATGATGGCCAAAATTTTGCTTGTTTTTTACGTTGTACCTTGTATCGTCATCCCAATCGCGATTAAACATGTGGACGCGATTTTGATAAAACTCAAACCTACGGTTCTCTTCGTCTTAATTTAAAAAGATTTTTTTAAAAAAACATCGATAGACTTAAAATAATTTTTTAAATTTTTTAATGGACATTAGTGCTAACTATCTAACAAAAAACAAATAATTTGAGTGGGACGCTTTGTTGATTTAAAGATACATTTATTTGAATATCTTAAATCGACATATCATAAATCCTTTAATTTTCTTAACATATCCGGGCAGAAATATTTCAGTCAACCTATCCAAAAACCTGGGCCTTAAATTAAGTCCTCAAGAATATAGTTTTGTCTTGAAAATTAAACTAACTACTTGAAAGCGATAGCAATGCCGAAAGGGCTTTAGATTTTCCCAGACCCAAAATTCAGGTTATTCTCTGCATTGGGTATATGTAGAGAGTATATATCCATCGTCGAATCCCCTGACATTTATCATATAACAAACCCTGATAACTCACGGAAAGGGGCTACCATCAATGGAAGCCTCTTTAATATCTATCTGCTGACAAGCAATGCACCCAGGCAACATATGTATTAGTCTGTGAAAGGGGAGATTTATCGACTAGGACTTATCCACTTTGATCCCCTTACCACTTAAAATGAAAGATTATACTAAAAAAACAAAGGGAGAAAAGAGTGACAAGTATTGTTTTCTGGAAAAAGTACATTCTGTACCTGCCTATAATAGCTAAAACTTTATCGACTTTTGAGAGGAATCCAGTGAAGGGCATATCCGCTTCAGTATGGGTAACCAAATGAGATCTACTATCTAAAACAACAGCTAACATTAAATTCCCTTTTTTGGCTTGCTGTGAATTATAAACAATTAAATTTTGAATTAGATAGACTGATATAGGGAACGTTTATAAAAAATATTAATTTAATTATATTTATTGTGAAAAATATTTAACAATAAAATGTTCCGAGTTCCAACTCCTAAGAAAAGGTGTTTTTCTAAGGTTGTAAAAAGTTTAAAAATAGTGAACCCTAATGTTATTCATATTAATAAAAATTTTCAAAAACCGTAAATACATTTTTCTAGACGAATTTTTTGTTCCATTCAATAGCTCAGCTTTCTAGCTATCATTATTTTCCTAAGGCCTAATTAAAAAAAATGGGCCGCGCTTATAAAATGTTTAAAAAGATTTTATTCTTACATTAAAATAAGAGAATGTAAAACTTCTCTGGAATTAGGATAAAGCAATTATGGATATTTAAAAATTTATTAAACTTTATAAAAATGCGTTATATAAAGATTTTAATTACAATAAAAATTTGGACAGTGCTCGAACCTACAAATAAAAATCGTATAGTGCTTTAAAAAATGAATTTCAGGAGTCTAGTATACTTTCTGAAAATAATGCTTAATTTAGAAACAGAAATTTGATATGAGCTACAGCCTTAATGTTTATTTTTTAAAAAAATATAAAAGTTGGTTTGCATCGCATGTATTTTTTTTTCAATCCATATTAACATTCGAATCCCTCTCGCCCAAAATATTTTTATTTTCCCGGATAATTAATATAAAATTAATTAGTCAAAAATTAATTTTTATTTTTACACATTATCAGCAAGGAAATTTTCTGAATCTTTGTATTTTTTTTCTGTTTTCCGGGTTCAGAAAATGGTCAATCAGGCGAATAATCAAAATATTTTCAATTATGATTGTAATCATGATGATATATGAGAAGGTAAAAGAATTAATTCTTATTTTTTTAAAGATTTATTCTAATTTAGTGTCGGCCAGTAGTATAGGTAAAATTAAAGCATCAGCGGATACCCATACTGAGTAGGGGAGACCAAGGCTAGTATGTGCAAAGGGCTTGTCGGTTCAGCGGATTTTATTTTAAAACCAGCAACGATTATTAATTAAAATTTTGTCCTAAAATAAAATTTTATGATATCCATATTCGGGGAAGAAAATAATTTATATTATTTAGCTATTTATATTTTTATTTGTTATTACATGTTTTTGACCTATTTTCACTTTACATTATTAGATTGTATTAAAAAATTAAACATGACAAAAAAGGAGGATGAATGAAAGTTAAAACTATTTTAATTTTTAAGAAAATTTCAGATTGATATGTGAGGCTTGAATATATGTTAAGAAATAAAACTAAATAAAATAGGGAAAATTTGGAGAAGTAATAAACCCGGAAAACCTTTTATTTACCATCATTGGGTTTAGTAGAATCGGCGCAATCAATCAATTAATTTTTGTAATATTATTATGGTACTCAAATAATAAAAAAATCAAAATATGAAAATATGAAAATTTTTACCATAAAGAATTATGAAGAAGCAATAAAATTGTATGAAAATGGCATGTCATCAAGAAAAGTAACATCATGATAATTATTATATAAATTAATCAATGTACCTTTTCAAAATGCATTTCAATTTTAATATAATATCAAACCTAAATAAATATCTTGCAAACTAAAATTTTTATATACACATATATATATTGTGATATATACAAATATATATTGTTAATGGCTGCTGCTTCTCCTGGGGGATTATTATTATTTTTTTGTTATTTTTTATATTAATATTGTATTTCTGACGGAATTAATTGGTTATTTAGACAAAAATCATGAGTTGCTTCATCATTTTGAGTATATACACCTACTTTAAAAATATTCATTTTAAAAAAAGGAAATAATAATAAGTTTGTATGGAATGAATTATATTGTATATACATAATCTAATAATAATAGAAACTAAGAATTATTTTAAAAAAAAATATTTTTAAAAAATTTGTAGGCAAAATTCTCCTATTCTCTCCCCCCCCCCTCCCATATATAAACGTTGTATACAAATTTTAGAAATTAAATTTAAAAAAAGATATAATAATTTAAAAATAAAATAAAAAATTAACCAATCAGAAAAAGAACCAATCTATATTAATATAAAAATAATAAGCAGAAAAAAAATACATAAAAAAATAAAATAATAAGCCCCTTGAGAGAGGCAGCAACCATTATATTTATTCAAATTAAATTTAATCATCAGATATGAACTTATATATATATATTAGCCTGATAATAAGATCAATTATTAAAAATGAATTATATCTAGCAAACAAAGATTTTCTTATGTATATCTATTTTAATTGACAATATAATATAATTCAAATTATTACATTTAAATATATTTGAACATTTTAGTTACCAGGATATTTGTTTTAGCCTGATAATAACTTCCAATTAATGTTATATATTTAAATATAGAATTATATAAATTTTGTGATAATTTATTATATATTTTATTAAGTGTACCTAAATACTACAAATTTTTTAAGACATTATAAAAAATATAAAATGGCTGACACTATGCCCAAGATAATAAACAAAAAATATTTGATAATGAGGAGGAAAATAAAATGGTTGAATATCTAATTTCATGAAGCAGAACTTTTTATGGTTTATCTATTAAAAAGGTTTTAAAAAAATTAAAGCTTAGATTTTTACCTCATCCCCATTCAAGAAGCAGCTTTTAAAACAGCAGAATAAAAAATCTAAGAGACACATTGTTAAAATATTAATAAAAATGTTTGTTTTATATGTAAACAGGAGTATAAAATTTTCATAATTTTGAAGATTGGTTACAATGCAAAGTATGTAAAGGTTGGACGCATTGGTCCTCTGCCAAAAAAGATTGCTATTTTATTTGTTATAATTGTAAATAGAATATTATATAAAGCATATATGAAAATCTGAAGAATTTTTTTTAAGTCTCATAGGAAGCCTAATAAACCACTTTGTTCGACGAGCCCCTTCGATGATCTGACTAACCATGGGTTTAGGGCTACTAGATTTAATAATCACTTTTACTTAAACATTTTGGAGAAAAAAATTATTAAATATTTAAAAAATATAACAGTGTCTATTTATAGGCATGTAATTAAGGTATCGATTGGTATTTTACAAGAACATATACGATCATTATTTTCGGAGTTATGGTGATTTTGACATAAATTGCGCCGACTAGCCCTGTGTTTTAGTTGTGAATTTTTACATTATATATATATATATTTTGCCTTAACATTTTATAATGCTTTTGAAATGATTGATAATATCCAATGTCAATCAAATAATGTTTAAATGTAGATTCCTAGATTTTATATTTAATTTTATACAATATCATATGACAATCTTATAAGTTATGCATGTCGAATATCAAAAGAATGTAAAGCAATTTTGATTTTTATTTTGTTTTGAGGATTTATATGAAAAATATTTTTCTTTGTTTTTCATATGTTTTACTTTGTAAACTGACATTTTGCCATGATTCATTATTTGTATATGATTTGTTTTTGATATAGATATTTACAATAAAGGATATTGGAAAAGAAGTCATTTTTCATTACCCTGGTCTCCCCTATCCCCTTAAAATAATATCCCTTAATCACATAAAGATTTTTGCATTTTAATTAAGATATATAAATCAACCTTTAGCACATTCTGGCAATAGTTTGTAAAGAATATCTTGGATAGTTCGGTCCAACTGTAAAGAAGACAGGGGACAAGTTTCGGAAACCTTAACGTGGCATACCGGGCAGGAAACATCGGTAGACGAGGACATTGATCTTTTCTCCTTTTCCGTTAAGAAATATTTAACGATACAACTCTTGCAGACTTTTAAAATTTTGATATTATGGTTGATAGATAAGTGTATAAAATAAGGATAAAATAAAATTTTAAAGTATAGTTCAATATAAAATATGCAATAGTGCTTATAAAGATAAATAAATATCCTGCTTCTTTTTATCATATATATAAAATAAAAGTTTCGTCATCGATGGAAGTTAGAAATTTATTTTAAAAAAGAGCAGTATATAAGGGTGAATTCACAGTAGAGAGCGACAGCGACACGACAAAATACAAATATATGTAATTGCCAATGACTATTCATAGTGAGCTTTTGCGACGCGACACGACAATCCCACCAAATTTGTCGCATTAAACTTAAAAATCAAGTTACAAATCATTTTGTTTTTTTCCATACGACATTAACTACAATATGGCCGAAATACAAAATTTGCAAGTAAATTTTTGATTATAAAAATAAAAATAAAACCTCTTATACCTAATATTGGTGAAGCAAACATTGCTAGAGCAATGTTTGAACAGATGAGTGGAAATTTCCAATATGAAGATGGTAAATATACTAATTTTTGTTAAAATTTTTATTATTATATAGCTGTTGAAATTGAATGTGTAGAGACTAGTCAGAGTCAATCTACAGATGTTAGGAATGATGGTGATTATATTTTATATAAATAATAATATTATATATTTAGCATCACCATCAACTAGTGAATCTTATGTACCTGGCAAAAAGTTAATTAAAAAGAGAGATATTGATCAAGGTAATTTGCATTTGTAAATATATTATTATTTTAAACTAGATTTATTTGTTCAAGTTCTTGAAATTGAAAGAATAAAAGAAAGCAGAAAATCAACAAATTCTTGGATCAATGTGATGCTTGAGCAGACCCTGGCAAAAAGATCAGAAAGGGGAAAGAAGAAGCTTATTAAAATTATTTTTGATATTCTCTTCAACTTTGACACTGATGAAGAAGAATGAAAAATATTATATATTGTTATTATTTCATTGGAGGGCTTTTATATTATTTTAATTATATTTATGACATATATAATAAATAAACTTTCTTTTTATTAAATTATTACAAATCAATATAAAAAAAATAGAGTAATATTTTTGAAATTTATTATATTATTAAGCTCTAATAGCCTTGATAATTTTATTTCTCTAAAACTATTCAGAAAAGGCATCTCTAATATCATTAGAAACTTTTGAGGGTTTTTTTTATAGATTGAGGATTACATAAATAATTATTTTGTTTATGATCTTGTATACCCTTGGGGTATAGATTTATTTTTTCTATTATTTTAATCATATTAAGACACATATAATAAATAAAACTTTCTTTTTATTATATCATTACAAATCAATATAAAAAAATAGAATAATATTTTTAAAATATAAGCTATAATTGCCAAGGTAATTTATTTCTATAAAAATATTCAGAAAAGGCATCTCTAATATCTTTAGAAACTTTTGAGGGTTTTTTTTATAGATTGAGGATTACATAAATAATTATTTTGTTTATGATCTTGTATATCCTTGGGGTATAGATTTATGTTTTCTATTATTTTAATCATATTAATACACATATAATAAATAAAACTTTCTTTTTATTATATCATTACAAATCAATATAAAAAAATGGAATAATATTTTTAAAATATAAGCTATAATTGCCAAGGTAATTTATTTCTATAAAAATATTCTGAAAAAAAAATGCTTGTCGCTACTACTATGAATGCTATGTCGCTTACGACAAATCAGCTGCTCTGTCGCCTAATGTCGTGTGGTGATTGTCGTGTCGCTGTCGCTCTCTACTGTGAATTCACCCTAATGTTTATCTATGTCGTAAACTATTTTTTTGAAAAGTTATAAAACTAATACAAATTTTAAAATTTTAACGCCGTACTTTAAATTTTTGAGATTTATTTTCATTAAATTTTTGTAAATTCGTGAATTTTTTTCTTCTTCAAATTTTGGAGATAGCCTTCCAAAATAAACAAATCATATATTTTTTAAAATAAAAATAGAAGACAATATTACATCCTAACTACACTATCATTGGATGAAATGTGTCCATGAATGCCTAAAACATAAAACATTCACATCCATCCAGTCCTAATCTTTTCGCATTAATAATTTGATATTAAATATATTTTTTTACAATAAATAGTTTTCATTTAAAAAAATTTTTTTTAATTTGTTTCACTTTATATGTTTTGGATGGCCAAAATATATTTTATATTTGATAAAAATAAAATATATTAAAAATAAGATTAGGTATTATACAAGCATTTAAAAGGGTATAACGATGCAATGTATTAAAAATGGCGATTATGTATGAATAGAATCCCTAAAGATGACTAAAAAATAGTCAAATAAATGGCCAAAAAGGGGAACTAAAGAAATGAAATCTAGGGAAAAAATTCTCTGGAAAAAAATCCAAGAAAAAACAGTTTGGAAAAAAAAAGAAACCCTGGAATATACATATAAAATTTGCCGGAAAATATTCCGTTTTTTTGGTCCTAAAAAAATATCAATTTGTGAAAAGAGAAAAAAATTTCTATAAATATATCCCCAAAATAAAATTCTTCAAATGATATATTTAGAAATTTTAAGAAAATCAACAAAATAAAAAAAATTCTGGGAAAATATATTCCTGAAAAAGATTTCCCAAATAAGATTACTATCCAAAATTATAAATAATAAAAAGTAGTTAGGGTATGTCTTGGTTAGACTTATTACTAAACAGCCTAAAAAGCAAAAGAAAACATTTATTTTTTTAAAAACGAAAAAAAATTAAAAAATAAAACAAGAAAATATATACGGAAAATAACATGGCATAGCCACCAAATACCTTAAACAAACCGAAATAGGGTGTCCTAATTCAAAAGCTGTTTAATCTAGGCTAAACAGCAACTTAATATCAAAATTAAGTCGAACCAAGACACTGCTATAAAAACTAAGCTTAACCTAATTTTTATATTATCGATTAACCCTAAACCATATTAAAGTTATGGTTTTATTCCGAACCCAGATTTGATGAAATTTAAGCAAAAAAATTATTATAAAATAAACGAATGCTTTTCTATGGCTGCATTCAAAGTGGAGACTGATCCGTTTTTTACATCCGTTCCGTCAAAAGTCAATCTCATTAAAATGAATATATATATTGATTTTAATATTTAAAAAATTATAAGTAATGTTATAACGCTCTATAAAATTTGCTGGATCAAAAAGTCAAAATGTTTTGACTTCAAAATTTGCCGGATCCGTTTTTAATACGGAAGGAACATATATATCATTTTTAATGAAATTGACCTTTGACGGAACGGATGTAAAAAACGGATCCGTCTCCACTTTGAATGCAGCCAATATCATACCCCTAACCTAAATTACCTGCTAGTTACCTAGTTTCTGTTATATTAAGATAATATTATCGTAAGTTAACATAATGGCCTGACCCAGATTTTTAATTTTTTAAAATGGCCAGGATTTTTAAAATCATATCATTTTTAGCCCTGACAGGCAGGCCACTGTTTTATAAATCTAAATGTTTTTTAAATTCAACCCTTAAGGTTTCAAGTAATTAAAAGATAATTAAATAAATTTTTGTTCGCCTTTAATCATTTTCCCCAACATTTAGATATTTATGGGAAAGAATTTTAAAGGCTTAAAATGATTGGAAGAAATCTTATAAAAAATACCTTTATTTTTTTATAGCAATGGTATTTTTGATATTTTAAAAAAAACAAGGGTTGAATTTTTTTCGCTTTTTTCCCTGGTGAATTATTTTGCACTTTATATTTTTAAAAATAAAAAAAATGGGGAATTTACACTGGAATTATTTTCCACAAGTTTTTTTCCAGGGAACTATTTTCTGGGAATTATTTTCCAATTACCAAAAAAATGACCAAAAGACAAAATTATATTTCAAAAATAAATAAGATACAATCAAGAGAAAATTTGATGCTTAGAAATATTGGTGAAATCTTTAGATGTAAAACTCCTCATTAAAATCATTTCTGATATTTAACCCAAGGCACTTGTGGTATACTTCATCACATAATATTTTTAAGATGTTGGTGGCAATTGGGGTAACATTAACCTTACTAATTTATTCTTGAGATTTAAGCATGGACAAATTCCAAATATAATTTATAGAAATTAGCAAATCAAAATAATCATACATTATTGGGTAAATTATGATAAACAATTCATAAATTTCATAGGAAAATGAATATTAATGTAAAAATAAATAAATGTTCCAATTAAAGATCCGCATGCCTATACAAAAAATGTCAAAAATTTATGATCCAGCCTAAAAAATCTGATATAAGATTGACCAACCAGGCCAAAAATTAACCTATTACTACCCAGTTTATTATTTTTTGTGAAGGAAATATCATAAATTTATATTATTCATTGTTTAAAGACATTATTAAAAATGCAAGAAAAAAATATTTAGCATAAATTGACAGACCCAAAAAATTTTTCATAAGTTACCTGATCTAGTTGATTTATATTTGGCTGAGAAGATACCTAGTTCAAATTATTAATTTAATATGTAAATGCATAATATTCTAATTTGTTGTAGGACTTAACCCAAACTAAAAATATCTATAAAAAAATAAAGAGTTATAAAGTGTCTAGGTATCTCAATGAGCTGACTAGAGATGGGCTCAAGTGTCAAAAAATACAAATCTTGAAGGAAAAATAAAAAAATTTTAATTTTTTTTAGAATTTATTCCTGAGTAGAAAAGTATGAGGCCTCGAAGTATATAATTAATTAAAAAAAGAAGCAATTTATATAATAAAAACACACTCTATTTGTTTAAATTATATTTATAACTATCCAATTATTAGTATGACCACCAAAACATTAAGGCATATATTTAATATAGCAATATATATTATCAATAATTTGTAAAATTCAATTAATTATGTACATGTATGTAGGCATTCTATAATTGCAGTGGCATCAACAAAATAACCATCACACAATGAACAAATTAAGTGTTCATTTAGTGATTTAATAGGAATTTGGATCTAATATAAATAAAAAATATATTTATTATATATAAAAATTAACTGGTTTTTCATCTTCTTCAAATTTAAATAAGTGAGCTGGTATAAATGGTAACTTTTGCTTAGCAGTAATAGAATTATTGTGAAGCATCATCATTTTATATAATTAATAAAATTTTAACTATTCCCAGCTGATTTTGAAGCGTAAAAGCTAAAATGGCTAATAATCAGGTAAGCCGCCAAAAAATGACATTGTTAAACGTGTACCTAAAACTTTAAGTGCTTTCAAATTTAAACCATCATCAATAAAACAAGCAAATATATATTTTTGTAAGATGTGCTTAAATATTTTTTTATTCATATCCATCTATATTATAATATAGATTTGCTTGCTTTTTACAAATATTGGTTATAAATTTTAAAAGATATTATAAATTTTTTTATTATACATATAAAATACTTCGCTTCTCATACCCTCTTTATTGAGCTTTCGGCATGCTTTTGCCCGGCCTTCAGCCGGGTTTATGTCAATAGAATTTTATCTTTTATTATAGTTATTAATTAATTATAATATACATGTATCCGGTAATCAAAATAATGTACTATGCAAATTTAGAATCTAATTCAAATGCAATACCCTCATAGCTAATAAAAAATATATTAATAAACCCCAATCCAAAAGTTTTTATCTTCTTGATTTTCTTATCAAAAAATTAGAAGAATATTTTTACCAAGTTCGTCCTTTGATTTTGCATTTTTTTTGTTTAGAATTAAAATAGAACTAATTCAAATGATTAATTAAAAGATAACAAATTTTTGAACATATATAGAATTTTATAATATAACAGCAATTTTATCCTTGCTAAAAGCTATAGAAATTATAAAATAATGCCATATAAGGAAAATGATATTTATTTAAAATAACCACTAAAATTTCGCAAAAAAACTTTTTAAATAAAATATTAATGTACAGTCTAAACCGTTTAATTGTGAAAGCATGGGACCAAAAATTTAAAAAATTTCGCAATTATCGGTATTCAAATTTATACGATTAAAAATCATTAATTAATTTATTAAAAATTATCGGTTTGTGTTTTTTTATAAAAAATACTTATCATCTATATATCTTTTAGCAGGCTTGTTAACCGATCTTTTTAAAACGATCGAATCCCGATCACGATCTTTTCAAAAAAAAGAGGATCGAAATCCAGGATCGATCTTTTTTTCTATTTAAATTTCTGAAGGAAATTTCTGACCGATGCAAAATTAACTAATATATGTTATAAATTTATTGTAATTGAATAATAATATAATGTAACCGATGCAAAATTAACTAATATAAAAATAAATTAAATATAGTAGAAATTTATTGTAATTGAATAATAAATATAACAATTAGAATATATTTATTTATAATTAAAATTAGCTTTTAATAATAAATTTTTTTCTAAATTATCATCATTTAAACATCCGCGTCTTTCATTTAGAACATGTTTAGCTTTACTAAACAAGCGCTCCACAGGATCGCTTGATGGCAAAGGTGTATTATATTCAATAAATATTTTTTTTGAAATTAATATAAGTATTAAAAATATTCATGGAATCATCATTTGAATAAAAAATATTTTTAACGGAACCAGCATTTTGTACAGTATTTTTCCCAAAAAAAGCATCAATGTCATCCATATCATTTGAGGTATCCGCATATGGTTGTTCCTGCTATTTTCCAAATGGGCAACTAATCTTTCTTTTACCATCATATTTTGTGGCAGATTAATATAAGGCCAATTAAGTTTAAATTTAGGGTGAATTATGGCTGCCAAAATGTTACTGTCTTCATACAGTGAAGGAAATCTATATTATGAAATGATATTTAATTTATTATTAAATAAGTCATTTTATTCATATAAATCAAATCAAGTATCTGCAAAACTTAACCCTTTTAAATTTTACAGTCAAGTCTGGCACATCATCTGTATGGTATTTATTTATATTTGGGTCATATCATAAATATTGATTAAATGTAAACTTAATACTTAATATACAAAGAAATTAACATTGTAATTTATTTACAAAGAATATTAATCAAAATATTTGCTTAAAATTCAAATAATCTAATAAATTTTTAATGTCTTCAAAGGCCCATTAATATTTTATTAGATAACAGAGGTTTAGTAGAACTGGCCTGTTAAAAATATTTTACTAAATTTGCCAGATCTTTGCAATTTTTTAATATATTTTGCAGATATCTGATAATATAAAATAATTGCATAAAAAATATTACCTTTTATCAATACCTCTAAGAACACTATCTACAAGGGGCTGACAATACCGCAGGCAGCTAAATTTCGTTAATTTATCTATCAATATCGATAGAACGGGAGTTAGATATCCCTGCTCCATATTATCCTCCCGTTTCAAGATTTTTAACGAGATCGCCAGAGGTTCCATAACCTATAAAATTTAAATTTATTTAGAAAATATCATTGTATTACTGTTGCATACTCGTTAACAAAAAAACATTCCTCTTGCCTAAACATTGCAAATCCAATTTGATCACATACTTGTTCTACTTCTGAAAACTTTTCAGAAGCATCTTATCTATTAATTTCATGGATTGGTAATAAGAATTCCATCTTGTCTTGTTGGGAGCTATTAAATATCTTCCCAATTTCTCCAATAAAATATCCGCCATTTTTGACGACATATTTTGTTTATTAACTAAAGCAAAACATTTTGCAAAAGTGAATCTAGAAATTCGTTTATAATTGAGATCACTATCGTTGCAATAAGGTTAAGATTATGGCAACAACAACGTTGATGTTTTGGTAAGCTGATAGTAGGAATAATTGGGTCATAAACGGATAATATGTCATCCAAATTTATCAATTCCATATCCTCACTACTATCTTCTTCATTTTCTCCAAAAACTCTAGAAAAAATAAATTTATTTAAATATTTTTTGCTAAATATAAATATTACTTAAATGCCTTGACAAAGTTGGTTCCATTGTCAGTCACCATCTTCACCATATTATGAATTTTTTAGAACTTGTGGATACCCATGATTTCGTTGGCCAAAACATCATATGTTTGCCTCCCAATTATCGTCCTCAGTGCCAAAGCGGCTTACTTTCTCTTGAGGGTTAACGGATCCAGCCAATGTGCAGTAAGTCCAATAAATGCCCTAATAAAATAAACATTATTGAATTCATATAAATAGAATATACCTTCAATGACCACTCCAACAATCAGCAGTGGTGCATACATAAGAAACTTAAGACAAATCTCTTATTAGATTTGTCGTCATATAAGAGAAGGAAGTAGATATCCTGTTGCCCAGTGTTTGGCGACAAATAATTTTTGTCGCAGGAGAAAAAGTTTTAATCATTTTTTCAAATGAAGGATCATCAACCAGAGACAGTGGTTGGAAGATGTCAATAATAAAATCCATAATAACCTTGTCTGTGGTTTTTTGCGATATAGCTGGAATGTTTAGATTGTTAAAATTTAATTTAGATTGTCTGGATTTGCAACCAGAACCATTTTGGTTTTGCAGTGATATATTTTTTTGTGTAGAGAATTCGTTGAGGTGTTTGGTAATCTCATTTTTAAATTCACTGTGCTTTTTCTTTAGAAAAGAAAAAAATAGTATATATCAAAGTTGGATGAAAATAACTTCTCCTGAATCAAATTTTATTTTTAAAATTTTATATGGAAATTTAAAGTTAAAAAAAAACAATGTACAGCCTGAATGTAAAACCTATATAAACAAAAAAATGATAAAGGGTTCAACACAAATTTTGTTAAACATATTAAAGTGTATTATTTATTTATTATTAAAAAAGGTTCATATAGGTTATTTTAATTTAAGTTTACAATATTGTCTTTGTCTATCATTATTAAAAGTTGCCCAAGATGATATAGGCCAAAGATTTTGATAAAGTATTTTCCTATTATGAATATAATGAGGCTTTTTGGCATTTAAGAACTTATGGATTGAGTCAAATGATACAAAATATACTTTCAATTCAAAATATATTATTAAAAAAAGCCCTAAAAATGTTGTCAAGAGGATTATATAATCAAGCTCAAACTGAAACTATAATACTAATTGATTAGATCTAACATATTATAATAAAGAAATAATAGAATAGATATTTATTTTTCTTTTGGTGAAACATTGCTAAGTTCAATACAAATAACATTGAACTGGATGTTTTAATTATATTAAAGAAAGTCAAAATACATTATAAAGGCTTAATTATTAGTTATTACACTTCCATTCATTATAAATACTCTTCTTTTGAAAATTAAACTAATATAATAGTAATATTAAAAAATAAATGCCTAATTATTATATATAAATAACAAAACCAAGATTAACTCTTCATTAAATATTTTATTAATTATACTGTATCTAATAATTCATTTTTTTATAAAGAATCTGTATCTAGATTCTATTTCTGTAGGACCTGCTCAACTCAGGAATGTAATAAATTAAATTTAAACATGTTGACATTAAGATTATCAAATAAAAAAAATTTAAAAGAATTACTTGTGAATGTCTCTTTAAGTTCGAGGATGATATTTTGGAAGATGATATTATCTTCTTACAGAGACGGCATTTGGTGCTGATCATATTATAAGAGTTGCTTTCATCCAATTCACATAAAGTAAAATACTTACGTAATTTCAAAAATGGTAAAAGATTCTCATTCTCACTTATATCTGTTGTTACATCAATAGTAGAAGCAATAGAATCTTCTAAATCTATAATGGACATTTACATTTACCTATTAAAATAAATTTTAATATATTATTATAAATTTATATTAAATAACTTGTAAGAGCTCTAAATCTCGTAAAATTTAGGAAATGAATAAATATATCTATAAAATAAATGGTGGAATGGAAGTTGATAAAATATGAAGATAGATATTTTTTTTAAAAAATAATATTTTAATTTAATTTTCAAAATTTTTATTTTATTTATTGCTTTTTAAGTAAAAAATTAATTTTTAAAAAGATCGGGATCGAATGTTAAACAAAATGATCTCGATCCTCAATTTAAGTCAGAATCATAAATCTCGTAAAATTGACAAATTTGCGATCAAATCCAGGATCGTCGATCTTTTGATTCAATATTTTAACAACTCTGTCTTTTAGACATATAAACCATCTAACTTAGTAATAAATAAAAT